ATTGTCTTAAATCCTAACAAAGGAAGGTGTCGGACATGCAGTCCTTTAAGTGTTCAATAAGCATTTGTTGAATGAGTGATTGCATAAGCACTAATATTGCTTGAGTTTTTACTGTGTGCCTGGTACTGTACTAATTACTCTGTGACACCCACTGCCCTCAGGAGGAAATACAAGTTCCTTCCTGAGAGCAAAGCGCTTCATGATCTGGCCCCTACCTAGCCCTCTAGCTGCATTTCTCAATACTTTTCAGTTTCTTTTTTTTTTTTTAATTAAAATTTATTGGGGTGACAATGGTTAGTAAAGTTACATAGGTTTCAGGTGTACAATTCTGTAAGTCGTCATCTATATATCACATTGTGTGTTCACCACCCAGAGTCAGTTCTCCTTCCATCACCATATATTTGACCCTGTTTACCCTCATCTACCACCCCCTCCTTCCTTACCCTCTGGTTACTAGAGGCTCTCAATTTCTTCTCTCCCAATTTTTAGCCTCTTTTCTTCAGGCACACTAAACTCCTGGCAGTTTTCAAGCATGTTATACTTCCTCCTGTCGGCCTCCACATATACCTCTTCTTTTAAACCCTTCTCACTACTCTGGCCAAATTTCACAAAATTATAGAATCTGGCTCCAAATTCCCCTTTATGAGGCAGGTTCCTCTGAACTCTCAGGCAGGATTTCATGCCCTACTGAGGGACCCACCAGTACCCTATTGTCACATATGTAGTAGGGCCATTTATTGTCAGTTGAAATCGAGCATTTCCTTCTTGGTCTCTGACTGAGAAAGTTCGTTAGCGTAAGGTTTCTCTCTCATCTGTCAGTGTATCCTCTGTGCACAGCGTGGCAGCTGGTGCACAGTCAGTGCTGAGTAAACGCTTGTTGGTAACTAAAGGAGAGAGGCCCCCAGGAGAGCTACAGCTTGCTTTGAGGCAGCCTGTTGGTCAAGGCCAAAGGACTCTCTGGGAGCTGCGGGAGCCCCCATGAGAGCTAGTGCCCCAGCAGGGCCCAGAGAACTACAGATCCCTATTGCCTTGACCAGCTCAGGTCATTCCACTAGTCCTGCCCCACTGTTCTGGACTCGAGCTTGGAAGATCTTCCTCTCCAGCAGGATTCTCTAGGGAGGCTAACTTGCTTGGGTCACTGGGTAACCTAGGAGTGTAGATCAGGAACATGCTCAGAAGGTCTCGTGTCTCCCCTGTCTCTTTTAGTCTCCTCTTCTTTCTTTTGCATTCCTGAACTCAAACATTCATTCATTGCCTAGTTTCTGTGGGGCCTTGTTTTCAATGAACTTTATACTCCTTTAGCCAGCACTCATACCCCAACATCCAGAGCATTCGTTATTATCCAAAGCAGCCACAATCATCATGGATTTGTTTCTGGTTATGTGTGCTCATGGGGTTAACCTGGGAGTGCATATGTATTTTAAGAAATATATTGAGGATCTCAGAAATTCCAAAGACCTTTAATATCCTGAAAGGGATGACTCTTGAATGCCAGAATTCAGATGTCATGCCAAAGTTTTAAAGGATATTTCAGACTGAAATGACTCTGAATTTGTGACAAGGCCCCGTCCTGCCTGGGAGTCTCTTTCTGGCTGTGGCAGCCATGGAGAGGTTTTGCTAAGGATCCCCCTTATAAAACAAGGACTTTTTACGCAGCTGTGGGATGATTAGCTGACAGCTGTCAGCTATTAGCTTTGTCAGGGTCTGCCTCTGCTCTGGCTGTGGTCGAGCTATTCTCAGGCTTGATTCTGGCCAGTCCGAGCAAGACGGTGGTCTAAAGGCCTAGCCGTTTCCACACGGTTTTGGGTTTCTCTGATGGGTAATGTTTGTCCTGGAGCTTCCTGTTGGGCTGGCAAAGTAGCATTAGATTAGCATCTGTCTGACTTCTCTCCCTGCCCCAAACTGCTTCTCCCCTTTTCCTTTCACAGAAAGCACTTGTCAATAAACCTCTGCCTTCTTCACTCCCTAGCAGTATCTTCTTCCTTGAGAAGTCAATCAGTGACACTGGCTACATAGAGTTAATAATTCCGGCGTACATAATAGGTATCCAGGTGGCATGAAGGGCTAGAAGGTCAGGGTGGACAAGTGTTGCTACTATCATTGCTTCCCTGACTTTGGCTATTGACAAGCCAAACGGAAGTGTAGGGCCTCTCTTGGGGAGAGAAACAGCATAGGCAGACGCAGGGCTGTCACGAGTTTGACCAAACTCCAGGATGCACATGTTTGACACAACTCCAGGGCTGGCATGGAGATAGTTGTGTGTACAAAGGTAGTCTGAGGTCAGCCTTGGCATCATGCTAAGGACTGCGGGTTTTATTTTGTAAGACGTTACTGCATTGGAAACAAGGTCATGCTTAATGTACTTTGTGGGATTATCTGGTTTGGGCCCATGCTGGGATTTGCGCATTAAATCTATCTAAGCAGAAGCCAATTAACAAGTAGATATTTTGTGTTTGGATTTACATTGGAAATTCAGTTTTTAAATATAGGATTAAGTGGAAGGACGCAGCACATTTCAGGCTGCAGGGTCAGCTGAGTTAATGCCCTGTCAGCTCCCTCCTCTGTCCGAAGCCCCCAGGTTCTTTAGGGGTGTCAAGGGCCAACATGCTCACCACGTGCATACTACATTCTATGTGGAGCTCTTTCCAAGTCCCTGCTGCTTCCTGACCTGAGGAATGTAGTGCAATAAATATCTAGAAGGAGCCCTGAAATTAGGGTTGTCAGATTTAACCAAAACAAACAAAAACTATAAAATGGGTCTATACACACACATGTATGACGTACTCAAAAATATTCATTGTTCATCTGAAACTCAAATTTAATTAGACATCTGGTATTTTACCTAGCCACCCTACCTGAACCTCTCTTCTCTGCTTTCCCTTTGGTGGCCTAGATCTAGTTTTAAAGGAAACCAGTCTCTTTAAGATTGTTTCCCCACTTCCAGACTTCCTTCCCTAGTTGATTTTCAAAGTTAGAGCTGCTTCCCTGTACCACTCAGCCCAAATAAAGGGCTCCACTGAAAGGTCTCCAGATGCTGCCTGCCCCGCTGCCCCCGACCTTCTGGGCCACCCTTAGGGAAGTGCTCTAATTCTGCACTCCCCTTAGAGCAGAATTATAGCAGAGTGATTCAGAGCAGCGGGGCTGAACGCCGTACGCTTGTACTTACACAAACTAGGCCACTTCCACTCCCAACAATTCTGGGCAAGTGAGGCAACCTCTTTGACTCTGGATTTCTTCATCAGTACCCTAGTGTCAGTGCCACACTTACTCCTAGTGTTCCTGAGGGGGTTGGATGGAATAGTTCTACCACTCGTACAGCCTTGCCTGTCAATGGGTCTCCAGTCGTATGAGCTGCTATTCCAGTTATTCGTCTTACTTGCCTGCCCCAGGACCAAGCCTCACACATGGCACAAGCCTCATGCCTATTTGTTAAATGAGTCAATGAATATAGGCCTCGGGGGGGGTGGCCTGGACTTCACTGAGGAAAGTAGGTAGAGTCCAAGATAGCTTGTGGGTCCAACAGCCTCAGAAAGACAGTCTGACTCAAGGGGTAGGCATGAGCCCAGGGGCTGGACAGGAGGATAGGAGGGCCAGAGTGGGAGAAGTGATATGGAAGAAAGTTCTGGAACTAGGAGTGGCAATGGCCAAAGAGAAGCCAAAGCAGATGTGGCCGCGCAAAGAGCCCAAGAGTGTCTGCCGTATTCTCTTAAGTCAGCACAAGTAGTACAAACAAAGCAAGCCTGACTACTCACAAATGTTTAGAGGGCCATCCCTGGTCCCATAGCCTTCCTCAGGGTAAATTGTCTCTGCTAGGTCAAACATATAATTTGTTGTCTAAACAGGAGAACACATGAGAATGAAATGGGTCCTATTCATAGTAATAATGAGGTATCAGACTTGGACTGGAACTCTCATGGAACTCTCACTGGAACTCTCTTGGACTGGACTACCTGGGAACTACGGTCACCCTGCCTCTGGCCAGGGTACCTCGTTTTGCAGAGGAAAGAGGCATGGTTGTCCTTTTCAAAGAGCTGTCAAGACTTGATGTTACTTCCTCAGACCCTCCCTTAGGTAGTGAGGTACAAGGGTTTCCAGAAAGAGGAAAGAGCTATGATGAGCTGCCCAGGTGCTTGGCTGGGGAAGACTGCAGCCTGGTGGAGAATACAGGACTCCGATTAATGTTTGCTACCGTCCTCTTTAATCATTTAGCAAGTGTTTAGATTACCTATGTAGTTCACCTGTGCAAGAAATTATGCATGAAACAAGAGAAGATAGTGTTTACCAAACCTTTTGGCTCTTAAGTAATTAAGTTAAATTACTTAAACTGATTAAGTAAAATTAATCAGTTTACTTATCTGTAAGCTAGAAGACTGAATTTATAACATGTATCTCTGTATCCTCACTGCCTAATACAGAACCAGAAACATATCAGAGGCCCACTAACTACTTCTTTACTAGAGGAGTGAATTAAGAATCATAAAAACTATCCTGTGAAAACTGATAGAATAATAAAGTCCTCTATGGGTAGTTTACTCATTCAACCAGTATTTTTGCAGTGCATTTTATGCTACACTCTGTTTTTGGCACTGATGATACTGCTCTTAGGCTCTCATTAGAAGTGAATTTGTTTGGAATCTTAAGAATAATTCACTTTTCTATGTGGTAATCCCAGGTAAATGTTAGAAATAGGAAGGGATACTCCTGGGCTGGACTAGAGCAGACTTTGTGGCACTCCTGATGTGGGTTTTATGAATGACAGAAGAGGAGAAAGGGCATCTTTGGTAGGTGCATCCAAGATGAGAGGTAAAGGTAAGGTATCCTGTAGCATGTGTAGGGCACTAGGGTGACGTCTGTGGGTGCATGTTGGCAAGGTGGGAATTTGGTTTTAAAAAGATTTTTAATGCCTGAAAAGAGAGTTTGGGCTCAATGTATATTAGTTTTTGGGACTTCCATAATAAAGAATCATAGACTGAGTGACTTAAAACACAGACATTTATTTTCTCACAGTCCTGAAGGCTGGAAGTTCACGATCAAAGTATCAGCAGGTTTGATTCCTCCTGAGGTCTCTCTCCTTGGCTTGTCGACGGCCGCCTTCTTGCTGTACCCTTCATAGTCTTTCTTACGTGAGCCTGCACCCCTGGTATTTCCCTGTGTGTCCAAACTTCCTCTTCTTATCCAACCAGTCAGCTTGGATTAGGGCCCATCCTAATTACATAATTTTAACATAATTACCACTTTCAAGGTCCTATCTCCAAATACAGTCACATTCTGAGGTGCTGGAGGTTAAGGCTTCAACATATGAATTTTAGGAAAATATAATTGAGCCTAAAACAACATGGTAGGTAGAGACCTATCAGGCATTTTTCAGCAGAAATATCATTAAAATAGAATAAGATGATTGCATCTATATGTGGTGCTGGGGAAGGGGGGGGCTATGTTAAATTAAAACCTCTGAGTCTTTACAGATTTGACTTCTGAATGTCAACATGGGCCATCACTAGCTCACAGCTATTAAAAAATGAAAATTTGTCCTTTTTGATTTATTGCTCAGCATTGCAAGCCCTGACCACGTAATTTAGTCATAATTCAGAATACTTTTGAAAATCAATGATTTTGTCCTTTAGCTGGCAATAGATGGTAATGACTATCCTTCCCAAAGACTCAGCTAACATAAGTTTTTATTTCAAATTTCAGCAAGGGAATATCATGATTAGACCAGAACAAAAGGAAAATGCAATTTTGAAAATATACATGTCATAACTTGGTATCTTTAAGGGGGCATGACATATATTACTTCATTCAGTTTATCTTTGTCTAATGATTACTGTTTAGCTATATACTGTCAGCCACTTTCAAGAGTGAAATTAATTGGGAATTCCTCAAATGACTGACTTTTATTGAATTTATTGCTTGTTTTTCTTTTTTTGGCATGAAGACTTTTCATTCTACTTTAATGAAAACCAATGTTGCCAAGTGGTATGAATAAAATGGGCATACATTCTGTTCATTAAAATAGATGTATTTGTTGAGAGCTTGTTTTAGGTACTGACTGATGCTAGATGTGGAGATGATTAAGAAATGTCACTCTGTGCAAGACATTCCCAGTATAGTTCGCCACTCACAGTCTCTAATCATTATGTCCTCTATACCCAGCTTTCTCCTAGTCTTCCCAAAGATCTTTCATGATGACCTCAACATGTTTCAATTTACAAATTTTCTCTTCTTTATATTTTAAAATATAGTTTATGCATCAAAAGATACAATGACACTCTCTCTACTTAAATGCCAATCAGTAATTTTTTTAAATTTCAGGACTAAATTTGAGGATTGCCACATACTCACCATCACTACCATTTGCTTATGTAATCTAGGCTACTATTACATAATTATATTCTACAGTTTAACTTCCTCTTATTTATTTATACCCTGGTTTTAAACGGCTGAGTTTAACATGAGATTTCCTCCGTTGTCTTACGTGCTGTTTTTTGCAGACATTTCAAGTGTTCCAATTTATGAAATTTGTTTTCCATTTCTATGGCACTGTTTTTTAGGATTTTTGGTGTATCCATTGCTGAGGTCAATGTGTGTGTGTGAATACAGAGAGACAATTAGTGTTTCGGTTAAATCTAGCTTCCAGAATTTAGAAGGCTGACATAATACAACCTGGTATGGAAGAATATGTGTTTTTTCTAGATGGTCTAAAAGGAATCAAGTCAAAAGACAGGTCTGAAAGGAAGAAGAATCAGTAAATTTATCAACACATCCATTTAAGCCAGCTGTGCTCAATTGATTTGTTTGCACTTCCATCTTTTCTCTTCCTGATAGTCTATGTCCCAAGCAAAGGTATAGAGAACTTCCCTCATAAGGAATTGGGAATGACTAATGCTTTCATGTATCTTGCACCTGATCAAGACATGAAGTCTTAAAATACAATTACCAGTCACAGCAGGACCACAGAGGAACCTCATTAACACACCTGCTAATTATTTTCCATTGATACCATCAGAGTCCTTAACTAGGCTGTAGTTATTACATGTAACTATTACCAGCTCTCCTGTGGCCTCCATGGCACCATGGGCAAAATCAAAGAGAGAGCTGCAGCATTCTGTGCACTTCTGGTCAGACTCCTTATTTTTTCTCACTCCCATGTCAGCACTCATGGTCTCACCGCCATCAAGATCACTCTCAATATTTGTCAGTGTAGGCTGGCTACCCTAACATAAAAACCCAAATCTCAGAGTTTTAACAGAGTAAGTGTTTGTTTCTCTCTCACGTACCAGTTCAATACAGGTGGTTCACTAAGTCTTGATTCCGGGACCCAGGGTGCTGCCATCTTGTGTTTCATCCTCCAGCAGGGACTTGGGGTTCTCCCCTGGATCCTCAGTGCCCATACTGTGGGTAGGGGAAGAGAGAGCAAGAAAGATGTGAGAAATTCATATGGGTTCCTGAAAGGAGTGTTTTCCCGTTGTTGCTATAACAAACAATTACAAATGAGTGACTTAAAACGTGACAAGTTTATTATCTTACAGTTCCAGAAGTCAGAAGTCCTAAAAAATGGAGGTGTCAGAAAGAGAAAAACTCTAAGCTATGTGCTGTCTGAGCTCACTTTAAATTTATGAATCCTAACCTTCAGTGGATTCTTAGCGCTGTGCTCAATAATTCTACAATGTTTACCTCGTCTGCTGATTCTCAACCTTTAGAAAGCATCAGTCACTTGGTGGACTTAATAAAATGCCAAGGTTTTGATTTGTGAGTCTGGGTAGAGCTGGGGAATTTGCATTTCTAACAAGTTTCTACATGATGCTAATGATGCTGGTCTAATGACCACACTTCAAGAGTCACTACCACAGTCCAGTCATTCTTGCATTTTTCGAATTATTTTACATCTCTAGCATCAAGTTTCTAACACCTTTTCTATCATTTGCACTTTCAGTTGGTGGTAATCTTGAGTTCTGTATCTGAGCTTCTCAAACTGTGAATGGGGAAGGACAATTTTTCTTTTTTTAGGATTTCTAGTATGTTGCTCTTTTTTTAAGTTCTAAATTTAAAAAATTTCCAATCTGTTACTTTTGTAAAATACAATAAGTATGTATTCTAGTGCATAAAAAATAGAAAAGAAGAAAGCAAAGACAGGTAAAAAATGAGCCTAAATTTTTAACACTGGAGTCAACAAATGTAAATCATATGCCAACAGCCTCCCTCTTTACCCCCAAGTTTATTACTGGAATGAACAATTGGATTTGAGCCGATTTCATAAGATAGGGTGCATTAAGTAACACTTGGGTTACAGTTTTTGTCAATGTGAGCTTTCTCTTTATTTCACACAAAAACTCTTACGCTAGGCAGAGCCAGGACATGTTCTTACAATGGTTGCCAAAGAGTGTCATGGTACGGGGAGGACAATTAAACAACCAGGACTGCACTTGTCCTGGAAAACCACTTCTGGAGGAGCCATGTGCAACTCTGTGAAGAGCTCAGGTGTTGCACTTTCAGACAGTCTTGGGTTTGAATCCTGTTCCTGTCAGGCCAGTTACGTGACCTAGTAAAGTATCTGAGTCTCATTTTCCTCATTTGTAGAACACTCACAAGATTTCTGTAAAGATTAACAAGACTATATGTTGAGCTCATGGACGGTACTCAGTTATCCCATGTTGTTATCACCCCATTGTGCCTAGCAGAGGGCCCTGCACATAATAAAATCTCAGTTAACTTTGCAATATTGGCAAATTGTAACCTTGAGCAAGATACACTTATCCTTGAGTGTGTACTTGCTTTGACTACTCTCTGTAGTCTAGTCAAAGTGTCACTATCATCAGGATCATGCTATTTCCTCCTTATCCTCTTACACTGTCATGAGGTGACTGAGAGTGCAGGATTTGAGGTCAGCTTGCTGGATTTGATTCCTGGGTTTGCTGCTTACAACCTTCATGGCTTGGCAGGTGTCTTAGCCCCTCTTTGTTTCATTTTCCATATCTATATAAAATAGTTATTATAACAATTTTGAATCCTCTAAAAGGACCAAATGAGTATATAGGTGAGGCACTTAGAAGAGTACTAAATGCTCAATAAATGATATTATTATTGCTATAGATTTTTTTTCATACACTGTTCTTCCAAGAGACACAATTTGTCTGACTACAAGGCAGAGGAGTATGCTAGAGAGGGGATGAATATGCACATCCTCTGATACTGCTTAAAAAGCTACTGGACTGGTCTGGAATTGTCTCCCATTCACAGAGTTGTAGAGTATTCTGATTGTAAGAACCACTCAGGGTCTTATGGTGGCGAAGCCATGGTTTCATGGAAAAAGACTATCCTCCCATATTGTTCATGTACTACAAATTTCCCATAGGCCAGGGCATGTGTCCCATCATCCCCCAGCATGCAGTCTAGGGCTGTATTCATAGAATGACCATTTATCCATTCATTCATTCATTCATTCATTCATTCATTCATTCTTCCGAAGTTTATTGAGTTCTGACCTTGCCAGGCATTAAGTAGGTAAGGGACGAGTTTGAGAAGCCACATTTGAGGAGAGTAGGAGCCAAGTGGGAGGAGACTGAGTGTCACCGATGTCCTTTTTCATGCAATGACAGTGAGTAGAGTGAAGATGATTATAGGAAATTCAGCATCCTGGACAAACCATATGCAGATTCGTAAGAGAATTCTGGGCAGCTGAGTTTCTGCCTGGCTGGGGGTCATGGGGAGGTCATTGAAAATGTTTCCTGAGGCTCGCCTTCTTCTCGCGCAGGCCACTTTGTCTTGTTTTATAAAGACAGGACACCTTCCAAGAGGGGAAGCAAGGTGTAAGTACAGCTCAGAATAGAAAGTGAGATCTATACTTGGCCGAAGGCTGCCCTCGCAGCTCTTGCTCTGGGTGCCACTCTCATTGGCTGGGCTTCCTGCCTGTCAGGCAGTCTCCAGGTTACTGCTCTCAGTTTCAACACTTGTTTATGCTCTAAATGTGCAATAACAAAACTGAGTGCGTCGTCCTCCTTCCATCCCACCTACCTACTGTTTGGTGTCCCATAAGGTAATACTTTTGATGTTCTCCTCTTTAAAAAACAAAATGTTTTCAAATGCAGATTATCTAAGGGAAAACTCCCAAACCTGTACTTTCATACCTGTCCGTAGGTTTCGCTGTCTTCCGGATGAACGAAGCACGCTCGCTCCTGCTATTTCATGTCTCTCTACACCAGCACTGGAATGCAGGCAGGGAGAGGGTGTGCAGCTCTGCCCCGCGGCATGGCCGTGTTCAAAGCGCTACGCTGTGGAGGAACCTGATTGTACTATTTCAGATAGCGTTCTTTTCAGAGGGGGCAGAGGTGGTGTACGCATCTTTAAAAACATTGTGTGTGTATTTATTTATTTGCTTATTTACGTGCAAAATTTGATAGGTTACATTTTTTCAGTTTTATGGCCGTATTATTGACAAACAAAATTTGATCTGCTTAAGGTGTACAATGAGGTTTTGACATATGTATATTGTACAATAAATAGCATCATCAAGTTAGTTAACATACGCATCACCTCACATAGTTACTCTGTGTGTGTGTGTGTGTGTGTGTGTGTGTGTGTGTGTGTGTGTGNATAGTTACTCTGTGTGTGTGTGTGTGTGTGTGTGTGTGTGTGTGTGTGTGTGTGTGTGTGTGTGGTGAGAGCATCTGTGATCTCCTCTCTTAGTAAATTTGAAGTACACAATACATTATTGTTAACTATACCCATGATGCTGTACATTAGATCCCTGAAACTTCCAGAACTTATTCATTTATAACTGAAAGTTTGTACACTTTGATCAATATCTCCCCTCTTCCTGTAGTAACCATTATTCTACTTTTTGTTAACTGTGACCTTGACTTTTTTTTCTTATATTTTACAAAAATGTGTGATTGTGTTCATCTCTATATTCCTTACAGCATTACATGCATTTTTCTGGCACATAATTTGACCTCCATTTGTCTGTTGTTTTAATATAGATTGTAACCTGGGATTTGGTTTCCTATGGCAAAATGGAAACAGGAAATGAAAGGAAATATAGTTTATAGAAGCAGGTCGATTGACAGCAATGAAAAGTGACAACTGATCATTCTAATTTGAACAAATGAACAGAGCAGGCAAGTGCTCATAGGGCCATTTAGTTCAGGGGTGTATGCAATCACATACTTTAGAGGCTCGAGGGCATTGACAGCAGATGGCATCATCCTGTATTTTCCCATGTATAAAACGCACCCTTTTTCGAAAACTTTGGGGTCTAAAAACTGGGTGCGTCTTATACAGTGGTAGTAGATTTTTTTTTACTTGCATTTCCCGCAAGTAATGAGAAGTTGTATGAATTTTGTGATGAATAAAACTTGAGTTCAATAACTTTATGTAATACATTTTTTTCAAATTTCGGGCCCCAAAATTAAGGTACGTCTTATACATGGGAGCGTCTTATACATGGGGAAATATGGTGCTTAATATTCTTAGTAAAAATCCTCAGTTGGTAGGCAAAAGCTGATTATGTTAATTCTTTAAAAGATTTATATCTCAATATCTTTATTTAAATATATGTATATATTTGCTGAACTTCTCTAGGACTCACAAATTTAGGGGGCAGATGATGTCCTAGGAATAGACACTGAAATTTCACAGGCTTATAGACATACCTATATAATACTGTACCTCTGGCTCAGTAAATATTGGTCTTCCAAGTGTTTCCAGAAGTCCCTGGGGAGTAAACTACTTATATTCAAGAAAACATTCTGGTCCTATTGGGTGTGATGTTTGCTCTGCCTGTCACTGCGGCTTTTCTGGCCATGGCTGTTGCTCCACTGGGTTGCATATCTCTGTGGGTCCCCAACACCCTCTGGGCACTGGAAACCCCACTGGGCACAGTGTGATGTCACAGTCCCTATTGAGGACTTTACCAATACACGTGAGCCTTACAGTCATGAAAGCTGCTCTATGAAGTTTGGTGAGGGATGCCATCTTCCCCAGTGTTAGTTACAGCAGTACATGTAGGCCTCAAGGTTGTACAGAATTTTAGTGAGAAGTCTCTTTCAGCTTTCACCTATAGTTCCCCTGTTTCTTAAAGAATTTAGATCTGAGTCCAGTGAGGACTACAGCAGAAGACAAACCCGATAGATAGTTAGCAGGCTATGTTTAGACCAGACTTTCCCCTTGATGACTCAGATTTACTTAGTGGCTCAATCTCAGAAAGGCTTTTTCCTTCCTTTAGGAATAATCTCAGAAAGTTCCTCAGTCTTCATGGAAAGAGCTGTGTGGCAGGCTGCCCATAGCTTTACTGATAAGCTCAGGTACATGTGAATTCCTCCTTCCTTTCCTCTTTCCTTCCTTCCTCCATCTTTTCTCTCCTCCCTTTATTTTCCTCAACAAATATTTCATGGACACATATCAGATGTCAGGCACTATCTAGCTGGTAGAATCATGGCAATGAGCAGAGCAGACAATGTCTGGTCTTTCAGAGAGTCTTGTGGGAGAAACATAACAGATAGTAAGCAAATACACGGGGCACTGAATATATCAGATGGTCATAAAGGCTTGGATCTGGTGCTGTTTCAGCAGAAACCTGAGTAAGGACTGGAGCTAGTCCGATGGGTATCTCAGGGAAGATGCATCTACACAGAGAGATCGGTGAGTTCAAAGGCCCTGGGGCAGGAAAAAGCTTGGCCAGTTTGAGGAACAGCAAGAAGGTTAGATTGATTGGAACAGAGGGATTGAAATGGAGAGAGAGAGACAGGAGAAAAAGTCAGGGTTGACCAGGAGGACCACTCAAGTAACACTTCAAAAGAACCTTTGTGGTGTCTTGAGCAGAGGATTCAAATGATCTCATCTCACCTAAAAGGATCGCTCTTGCTGCTGTGGGGAGATTGGATCATGAGAAGGTAATTGTGGAGAGTAAGAGAAAAGTCCAAAAATTATTACAAAAATCCAGGTGAGAGGTGATGGTAGTTTGATTTGGATGACAGAAGTGGACAGTCACGAGCATGGTCCATTTTTGGATAGTATTTGGAGGGTTTAAAGGTACAATAATCAAATACTGACTCCTTTAAGGAATGGGTTGTTTAGGAAATATGAAAGTTATGAATCACGGGAGATTTCACTGTTTTTGATCATAGATACCGCCAAGGTTGTAAGCACCATTTACTGAAATAGAGGATATTGGGGAGCACCAGGTTGCAGAAGGAAGAATCCAGGCTATGGGCTTGGACATGTTAAGTTTGAGGCCTTTATTAGATTTTCAAAGAAATGCTGTATTAATTTGTTAGAGATGCTGTAACCAAGTACCCCCAAACTGGGTGGCTTAAACAACAGAAACTTATTGTCTCACAGATGTGGAGTCTAGATGTCCAAGATCAAGGTGTCAGCAGGGTTGGTTCCATCTAATGTCTGTGAGGGAAGGATCTGTTCCAGGCCTTTCTCCTTGGCGTGTAGGTCGCCATCTTCTCTGTGTCCCTTTGCATTATTTCCCTCTGTGCATGTGTGTGTCCAAATTCCCTCTTCTTATAGGAGCACCAGGCACCCTAGTGTAGGACCCTTCCTAATAACCTCATTTTAACTTGATTACCTCTGTAAAGGCCCTATCTCCAAATAAGGTCACGTTCTAAGATAAAGGGGTTAGGACTTCAGCATATGAATTTTCGGGTGAGCACAATTCAGACCATAACAGATGTCAAGCCCAAGAAGAGGTTGGAAATGAGGCGTACATTTGCTGTTATCTGCATATCAGTGCTATTTAAAGCCATGAGCTGCTTGAGATCAGTTTCTGGCATGCGTGAAGGTAGCGATGTCTTCAGATGCTCTAACATGTAGAGGTGGGTGATTCGTACTCAGACTCACTCTGAATCTCCAGTTACATATATTTTCATAAACTATAATTCCACCTAAATTAAGAGTCCGTGACTTCCGAGCCATGAAGAGTCCACGCCAATGGGCTTTGCTTTCAAAGGAGAAGGGTGCTTTGTGTGATGGTGAAGATCAAAGCAGAAGCTTTGTAAAGACAGGGACAAGGTTCTGACGGTCTCTGATGCTGTAGCTGCTGTTTTCTTTGAATAGTTTACATCTGGGCAGTTTTTAGCATTGCCCTGGAAGAACTTAAAGCAAACATTTAAAATACATTAAGAAACGTTGCCTTGACTGAATAATAACCTTGAGAGAAAAGAAGGGACGAGACTTATTTCAGATGTGTAACTCCTACAAAGTCCTGAAAATGAACTAAAAAATAGAGCCATTTTCTTTTTGTCTTTCGTTACTTAATGGCACATGACAGAATATTTTGCTTGTTTCGAGCTTTCACAAGGACTGTAAATCATGGTTTGGTAGTACTCCTGAAAGGTGGTCTCTGTTTATCTGGTTAGCAGACATTTACCAGGTGCCCTCACACATCATGATACTAGGTAGAATGACCACAAGTCTGACTAATGGATAGTATGTGATGATTTGGCCTTCTGGGATCATTCTCCATGCAGATAGAATATTATAGTAGGAAGAACTTGGAACTGAGGCATGAATTCTCTCCCCAACTCTGACTCCAGTCTAATGCATGCCCAGTGACTTGTCACTTATTCTTAGGTAGCCCCACAGATAAGGGGTGTGGACTTGGTGACTTCTGAGATTCCTCCTAGGTCTAATGTTCTTATGACTTAAAAATCAATTATCTCAAATTTATAAAAGCCATCACTGTTTGCAGACAGGCACACATGGACTAGTTCTGTGACTTTATGTTGGCTCTGGAATGACTTTCTGGGTGAAAGACGAAGAGTGTTCCTGCTAACAAAATAACAAGAACAGTTCAAAAACAAACCCCCAGCACTGCAAACCTTGCCTCCGGTGTTAACTTTTTGCTTTTGCTCTCCTCTTATACCTGTGACTCACATCCCAGTAAAATGTGTTTGGAGTGATCATTGTGAGCGTTAGACTTCCAAATGTTCAACTTCCTTGAGAAATATATTTAAAAATATTGTCTTTTGATCTCATCTTCAGACTATTATTTTGAGCTGTTTTTCTCTTATTTGGGTCCAATGGGAAGACTCCTCACTTCCTGTTTCCACATCAACACCTCGAGGTGCAATGTGGGTATAAGAGGCTGCCCTTGGAGAACCGTTGCCCACCTTGTGACTTTGAGGCCCAGAATCCTTGCCATCAACTAATCCTTCCCCTTTAATGGCTGCTCAAAATCTAAAGCTATCCTAGGCTTTGATGATACA